CCATCCTTTGGGGCTGAGGGTTCTCAATTGCTCAGACAAAAGCAATGGTGCACTTTGATGGATGTTGCTGCCCGCAGAAGTTGGTCATGGCGCCAACGATACCACCACTCTGCCAAGCCTTTGGACAGCAGCTGAGGATGTGTGCCACAGTTGGCAAGCAGGTGAGTCTGTCAGGCCCCAGTTGAAAGGGTTGGAAGGGCTCGGGAGGAAATCATACATGGACTGGACCAAGAACTTTCTTCCCAGGTGATCTCCCGGGCCAATTGTGTGCTCCCACTTGCTTCCTCCACCTCTGCACATACCTCTTCCTGGATTAGCTTTTGCTGCTCCTTGCCTCGGGCTTTACCGTAGCAAGGTCTTGGATTGCTCCCAACCCCTGCCTGACCAGGTTCCACAGTGCCCATCAGGATGTTGTGCTTCAACCTTGCCCTCAGCCCACTCAACTGCCTCCTGCACGTGTAACTTCCTTCCTGTTCTGACCTCGATACCCGCAGAGGAAACCTTGGTGTCCCGGTAGGGCAGGACTTGTCTGACTTGGGCGACCTTGAACCCTTCTGCCAGACTGCTGAAAGGAAGCTGGAGCTTGGTGCTGTGCCCGCAAAGTGCAATGGTGCTTAGGCTCTAAGGACTGGCCCAGCCACCTCTGCAGGAACTAGTTGGTCTTCCTTTAGATTCCTCCACAATGGTGACTGGGACTTCATCCAGCAGTGGCCAGAGGAGTCAAGGCAGGGTTCCATGTTGATATATCCTTGAATTTACCAGGAAACCCAGAATTGTCCACTGCTTGGCGTGTCGCTGTGTCTTCCAGGTTGCTGGGGAAGACCTTACCCGGTGTCTTGACTGGCTTTTGGATGAATTTGGATGCCTCCTAAAGAGAAGTCCAACTGGTTGGTTGTGCCTTTCCTGAGGACCAGAGACCTGAATTTTGCAGGCTTGAAGCTCATTCATTCCCACAGAATGAGCCATAAACTGTATATACTGGTTTATTTTAGGTTATTTATTTAGTTATTCTATACATGTAATGATATTTTCTATGTGTGTAGCACAAATACATTTCCTTGATCCTTGGTATTCTGAATATTTTGAACTCTTGTTTGCAAACTGATTCTGGTCAAAAGTCTGTAAAACACCCAGTGACACTCTGCAGTTATCAGATAATATCATAGTCCATGTGATCAGTTCTGAAAGACACCGAGCTGTTTGTTTACTCTGCGGGTGAAGGCATCACAGCGTTATCTACGCTCTGATGATTGTATCACATGAATTTTCTATTTGTTGACAGAACAGTTAAACTTTAATCTACTTAAGGCAAATGCTGTAAAATCTATAATAATAAAATATGACTATATATCTATATCTATATATCTATATCTATATCTATATATAGATTTATATGAAAATATGAATATATGGGGTTTTTATTACAACCAATAAAATGTTTCTCAACTTATCTCCAGCAACAATTTTGCAGCCAAAAAAAAAGGGTAAAACACACATAAAAAACACGCAAATAGTGCAACACTTTTAATGCGTGTAAAGCAAAACTAAAAAGCAGTCCAGAACTATGATCTGTTTATTATCTATTTATGATACAGAGCACAGGCTCAAGCGGGAGTTTATAGTTTTGCTTTCATTGCTGCAGATGTGATTTGTATGTATTGACCCTGCTGAGTCATGAGATGTTTTATCCCTGTTGATTACACACATGACTGCAGCTTTACAGCTTTTCTGCTGGGTCCTTAAAAACAAACAAGACCTGCAGTTTTCGCTGAGGGAGAAGAGGGAACTTTTGTACAGAAATGATTCCTAAAACCCAGAACTGAGTTTGCCTTGTTGCACTTCCAGTTCCCTCGCCTCAAAGTCGAAAAAGGCGGTTACGAACAAGTGGCTAATTGAGACTACATAGGGCTGTCGGTGACCAAAACACTGAACACGTCCACCTTTACAGCCTCGCTGTGTTTATACTCTTGCAAACTATTCTAACTCAAACTTTACATTGAACAAAAGGTGTAAGTATCATAAACCTTCGTTCACCACAGAGCTTATTTTCTGCAGTAATTCAAGATCTAATGTCCCATTGGCTTTTTGTTGAAGGAACCAGGACGATGCTCCCTGCAGCACACCAGTGGAAAATAAAAGTGATGGAAGGACTCAAACTAAACAAAAGAACAAAATTGTTTTTGGCCGTTACCAAAACAAACCCCACAAGATTTGTGAGACTTCTAAAATTTAATTAAAAGACATAAAGCACTTCATTAACTGTATCCAATTTAGACAACAGAGGTTTGGGCATTTGAAGACTTTTCAGGTTTTTATTTCAACATTTTCTTTAATGTTTACATTTGTTTTTTTCAGCCTCTCCGTTTCCCTGGTTAGTAAATCCAACACAACAATACATTTCTGTCTTTGTCTTAAACTGTCCTCAGCTCTGTGTACAGCAGAAAGCACTGATCTGCTCACATGAAGCTCACAGGATCAGCAGCAGATCCAGCAGACACGCCTGTTTGAGGACCAACAACGAGCTGCAGACAACCAGTGCTGAGTAATCCTGTCTGTGTGTGTCCTGTGGCTCGAACAGACTCATCTGCTGCTGAGATTCCTCCCTTTTAATCTCACTTTACTCAGGCTGAGGCGTCTGTTTCGACAAAGAGAAGTCCTGAACATCTGAGTTCCCACTGTGATACATTCACTACACATTAACAGGTTAATCAGCTAGCTGAGCTGATGCTTGAGATAACTTTACCACTTCCTTGGTTGACGTTTTTAGTAGCTTTGACCACAGTCACACAACTGAAACTCACAGGACAAACGTCCATTTTCGTACACAGCAAAGAACTCATTTAAAACTGATGAAGAGGACAAAAAGAGGACACTTAAAGCACATGGACAACCAACACTCTCCCTCGTCTTTTGTAGGCAGGCAGCCAGACGTGAGTGACTTACTGTGTGTTATGGGGACGCTCTGTCACTCTGAGACTCTCTCCTGATTCCCAACAATATGTTATTATTAGATTAGTATACCATTGCAAAATCATGTAACTGGAAAGATAGCGCGGTTATGTTTGCTCTTCAGATTTGGGCTATGATGTCTGGAGGTTGGTGAGAAAGTATCGGTACAGTATCGGTTCTGATGAGGACGGTTCCCCCCAGCCCTAACAGCGGCAGTGTACTCACGGCCAGCGGGGCGTTCAGCTCCACAGACGTAGATCCAGAGGCGGCGGCCGTCAGCTCTCCTGGGATGGAGATCGGATCCGGAGACAGAGTCAGAGTCTTCAGTACAGCCGGAGCATCGGGCTGTCCGCAGTTCTTCCAGTCGAAGCCCAGAATCTGTCCACAACACGCAGAATCAGTCAGCACAAAACAGACAGAGTGGTTGAATGTGTTCTCCAACATTCCTGTTTTATTTCATTCCCATTCCCTCTGAAAATCAACTTGCCAGAACTCGCCTGAGTAAAATAATCCATCAGGTTTGTTTTTAAAGCCGCTGTGTTCTTGCAATCACTGAACTAAAAAGAAACTTTAAACCTTTAAAATCTCTACTAATAAATTCTATTTCCTCTTGTCATCTACTTATTTATGTTCTTATGTGTGTAAAGGACGTTGTACACTTATTTTAAAATGTGTTTTCAATAAAAGTTATTGTCATAAAGCATTTTCTGAGGCTGTCCAGGAAGTAGAAAGATAAACAAATTAAAAATCTAAATATCTAAAATAAAATTCTTAATACATGAATGTAGGATAATTAAATTACAGCTAAAAGTATTAGGCTGATATTAATAATCATTTATTTTTAATTCTTATAAAATATATGAAAAGCCTTTATGAAGTTTTTTAATGAACTTTACTGGAAAAAGGAACATTTGAAGAGTCAGAACTGTTGGTTGTTGTTGTTGTTGTTGTTGTTGTTGTTGTAAACAATAGAGACGTCATCAGGTGTGTAAAAGCTACAGGTTAGATTATCTTATCGGTACTGGCCATGAGGCAGCAGGTAATTATTATGCGTCAAATTTTCTTTTTTCTTTTCTCCAAAATTTTCTGTTATTTGCAAAACAAAAAACCGACTGACTTCCTGATTTGAGTTTTTCTTATTTCCAATTAAAAACGTTGAGTGTAAGTGTCCTCAGTAAAGCTGGACTCACCTGAGCCTTAGAGACCCTGTTCAGTCCGGACGACGTGCAGTTCACCTGAGTCAGACCCGCAACCACAGTCAGAGCCAGCGTCCAAACGGACCTTTTCTCCATCCTGTTGTCTCTGAGCGGAAACACCGACACAAACCGGGGAGTGGAAACTGTCCGCTGCCGTTAAACTGACCGGTAACGAACCCCGACCGAGGACACACTGAAGACACAGCCGTCTTTCTGTCTTACTTCCCTGTTTATTTCCGCACACACTCGGTCTGTCACATGACCGCGGAGTCACGTGGCCTCCCCCTGACGTATTCATCGTTTGGACTGTGAAGACTTTTCTTTCTACTGTTATAAAGAATATATATATATACATTTATGAATTTGTATAAGACATTTTTTAATCAGATAATTTGAACAAATAGCCTAGTGGCATCAGGGAGAAGAAAATACAGAATCTGTTAGGAAAAGAATAAAATATAAGAAGATAAGTGATGGTGAGTTCCTGAAAATATCAGGAAAATTATTCCTTTAAATTCACAATGTTCATCCAAACTGCTCATTTTACACAAACTTCGTGCAGTCATTGTGTTCACCTACACCAGGATCCTGTTTGTGGACT